TCGCTTCTTTCCCTCTCTTTTATCTGGATAAAACGTGAATCAATTTAGGGTAACGATAACGACTGCATACGTCTAAGCCATCGCACGACCGACAGATCGATGATGACCGTTACTTTCGTGAACATCGCAACTTTGTTGCAACGATATTTTCTCTCGAGAAACATGATGGCATCCTCTCTTGAAAAGATAAATAAAAATTCGAGTTTCCATTACTTCGATTTTGATCCCGCAAAAAATTATTAAATTGTAAATGCTTACAAGTATTTGACATTCTTTTTAAATGTATTCTTTCAAACATTTGTATTCTTGATGTCGTATAAAAACAATTGATTAATTATAATTGTAACAGTGACTGATTTACAACGAGATATAAAAATAATTTTTTTTTAATTTTATAACAACTTTTAAGTGATATGAAAATAAAAGAAACACATTTTGCGATATTGCTAATTTTTTTTTTTGTATTAATAGAAATGTAACAAATAAGCTTATTTGTGAGATACGCTATTATCAGGCCTTATCTCTGTGGCAAAATAAAGCAATCTTATTATTGTAATATATGCAAGATCCTCTTTTGTGTCTCAACGCTTTATATCTTTATGTAAATTATACACATCGTTTACACGCTTTGTTTGGGAGTATGCAGATTTTTTTTTACATGAATTATTTGCATTGAAAGATTGAAAGTTTTACGAATTGCAATGAATCGCGAGCATCCATAATTGTGTGGACAGAGAACTTTCAACGATTCCATTTCTTTTAATATCCGAGAGCCATTGAGTGTGCCCTCGCAAGAATTTAAATTTCATATCGCTACTTTTCACATACTGACGTTACATATTTCTTTCGCGAAATCGCCCATTTCCATAAATCTTGAAAATTTCTTAATATCTTAAAGAGAGCCAGTGCACTTGAAAATAATTAAAATGTCAAAATTTTTTTATTTTTTAAATAATAATCTCTCCACTCAAACATATTTCGAGCTATGTAAAATGATTTTTGGGTATATGTCTAAAAAATGTGTGAATATAAAAATGTAAAATGTATGAATATAAAATAAAAAATATAAAATATATGAACATAAAGTATATAAAAATAGTGTCTGTAAAATGATCTTCTGTATAATCATGTTTCTTGACCTTTTTTTAAACATCACTGGTTCGATTATCATTTTTTAAGCTGTTCAGAAATAAATTGAATTTGATCGGTTAGTTTAAAAAAATTTGTAATTTTATCGAAAATTATAATAAAAATTGCCCAAAAAATTGACTTTATTTAGAAACCTTTTTAATAAAAATTTAGAAAGAGCGTTTACTTATTGTTAGCAAGAAACATCGATTAAAATGTATTCAAACATATGAGAGTGCGCGAAAGAAAAATTATTCAGATATGTTATCTTAGTGAAAAGGAAATATAAAGATAGATAATTCTGCCATATGATTTCACAACCGGCTTCCTTAATAATTATATAAAATTATAAAATCAAACGTTATTTTTCATTTTGTTGTTAATGATATCTCTTCACTTTATTTATCTAGACCGTATTTATGCTTTCTTACAATTGTTTCTCGTTGCACCATCAACCTCGATCTTACAGCCTCGTCCTAGATCCAAATTATGTTTACATCACTATCCATTTACACGAATGTATTCGCACTGATTGATTGAACCGGAAACGCATCTCTCATTAAAAGTCGCAATTACTATTCGTTACACGCTATTGATTCATACTATGACCGTAGATAATTTTCTGAAACAGTTTCCGGCTTTACAATGGCGTGAAAGTAACGCGATTCTACTCGTAATGGAAAATTTTAAACTCTACGAAAGCGAGCAGAAGACTTTTAAAATTAAAACCACCAGGAAACGGTTTGCCACATTAAATTTTCCAATTCCTTTTAAAAATAAAATAAAAATGTAGAATCTCGTTCATTTCTGTTCATTTTCAGGCATTGTATTTTACATTAAAAATATACTTCACGCTTTTAAACATTTAAATTCCGTGTTTAAATTTTTTTCAAAAATATGAGGAAACAATAAATCTCTATATTTTAATTTTTTTATTCACCTTTTTGTAAGGTATTATGAATAAAGACAGAAAAACCGTTCAATGTCGCATGATATATGTATATATATTTTTTGTATAGTTTATTCCCCGTAGTACAATGACAACGCATTAACTTTAATGAACGAATAACGGGTTCTTTCGTCGACCATTGCAGAACGACATTTGCTCTTTGCATTGTTTACTATGTCGATGTGGACAATTTGTGTCACTTGGGAGCGAATCTATGGCTTAGTACATACGAATGGACGTTGAAAAAAAGTATACATCAACCAATAAATATTTCTTTGCTTTATACTCCATAGTAGTGTAACACGATCAAAGATTTACGAGCGGTAATAACGTTATAAATCATAAATATTCTTGGTGGTCTCTCGTGACCGTAAAAAGATTCTAGTTTTGACTCTCGCGAAACCTTAGAGTGGGCTAGAAGAAGGCCTGCAACTTTATTCAACCGCCATTTTGTTTTTATAGAGTTTCGACAGCTGTAATTAAAAAATTAGTTAAATAAAAAATGTTATTTTAAAATAATATATTTTTAAGGATTTTGAAACATTAAATAAATAAATTTGAATTATGCAAATAATTAAAGTATCGTGAAATAATTTTTAACATCTTTATATATATTAGATAATATAATTGTAATTAATATTTTTCTTCTAATCGATAATTAGAAAACTTGCACGCCAATATATTTTGCAAGAAACAATTTATCGAAAGTTTTTCGATTATGCAATTTCCCACAAAAATCTTGCGAAACATATGCGATATCACAGTATTTGCTAATCATTTATGTACCTCAGTTAATTTTGCGCACCCAGAAAATTTTTGCTGTAGTTGCAATACCACTTTTTTGAGTGTATGCAATTTCCTACAAAAATCTCAATGCAAACATAAAAATTAAATATTTTTTAAACTAAATATAAAATTATGTTTAGATTTTGGAAAGATATTAAAAAAAAGATAATAAAAAAAATAATCTTAAATCTTAAATAAATAAAATTTTTTCGTTTTTAATATGTGACACATACATCCTTAAGTCAAAAAATGGTCGATTCATCGACATTTCTTTTCTCGTGCCCCTATTGCGAGAATAACTGCGAACGATTAAAGAACGTCATGTTATTCGATGTTCCTAAAACATCTCTACGCAAAATGGGAAATCGCCATTCTCAGCCGCCGGAAATGGCCTGCCCGCGCGAACGGTCAGCGGAAAAATCCTCCTCTTTTCACACAACCTTTTTCCCCCACGGGCGCGACTACGTTTTTATGAGCGATCGGCCTTTTTATTTCGAACCTATAAAAAGAGCCCCGCGGCGAATCGAAGATACGCGATGCTTCTGGGATTTGACGGGTAATCTCGCGTTACGTGCACGTAGATATATCCCCGACCGATGAGATACATGTACATTTGCATTTTGCGACGAATATCCCTCGCGAACGATCGACTCGTGTCTTCTGTGACACGAGTTTTACACATATGCGAGAGTCAATGTCATGTATAAAAGTACGTCTTCGGTCTCCTCGAATGACTGAATAAAATTTTCGATATTTTTGCTCCGACTTTGCTGCGATAAAATATCGAAATTTACGCAAAAAGCGCTATACAAAGATGTATAATAATTATAATACGTTAGACGATATAATATAATATTCATTTAACTCCCTCTTTGTCCTTTCATAATATAACAGTATATACGCCATAAAGATAAATCTCATTTTGTGTGTACGGTTTTAGATTTTCGTAGGAAAATCTTGGCTAAAACCAGTGTCAGTGACAGCGGGAGGTCGTCAAGCAGAAAGAAGCTGCTTACGACAGTAGACGAGCTTTTGCCTCTTTTTGGGCGTAAAAAGAAGAATATCTCGACACGAGAGATCAGATTATATGATCCATCATTGTATCAACATCACGCCATATCTTGGATATGCCTTATAAATCTCTTCTTCCAAGATTGTCAGCGCACTCGAGGACTCCTTTGGGGCAATTGCGGTAAATTCAAAAGCGCGTTTCCTCTATATGTACATGTATATACATATATGGATTCTAATATCTTGAATAATATGCGTATATCGAGACGAACGCGATATTTAATTGCACAATGGATATCCGATAACCGCGAACGCGAGTGCACGCAATGTTGACTGCGCGATACACGTTAATCGGCGAATGCACTCTATTCTCCTGCTATTGTAGGAACACCTGGCACGGTGTCAGATTTCGAGCCGAGGTGACGACGAAATGTTTCTATTTCCCTGTCGGACGAGGGTGCGCCCCATAATACGCAGGCACGAGATACGGGCAATGAACTCTGATGCGTCGCGTGTCCGAAAAGCTTCCCGACCACACATTACGGCGAAGTTTATCCGCGTGGCATGCCTGTATCTATATTCACGCGCACGCATGAATATACTCACAATTAAAAAGAAAGAAAAATTTAAATATATATCCTGATAAAAGCAAGAGATTTAATCTTGCTAATCTTGCAAAGAGATTTAATTCAAGGTTTAAAACGCATCAAAGTATCATATTCTAACGTTTTAAATTGTGGAAAATCTTTATATTATTACTGTATGGTGTATAAGTATCATACTGTTCATTTACTGCTCATTAAAATGTAAAAAAATTGACATTATTAATAATTAATAATTTTATAGAACTCATTGGTTGAATAGATTTTGAAAAGCTAGCACACGTTTATCTCCTCGATAAGAGAAATTGGGACACGCAGTTCCAAAGATATAAAGCCTCAATCCTTTAATTACGCAGTACTAATTACACGCCTGAATGGAGGAGGACCTAGGTTTGAAGTGATTAAAGAAACGATTTGACAAATCGATGTCGAAAGCGTGACAGGCTCGAGCAGACGACACGCCCGAGAATCGCAGGTCTCAGAACTTCCACTGTATTTCGATGATGATCTCCAGGATGACTCACCTTGTTTCCATACCAGAATCCACAAGGATGTCACGCTGGACGCCGTACGTGGGACGATGCTCCGTCGAGGGCGGTGGACGTGGTCGCGATACTCCCTCAAAGTGTCGTCGACGCTGACGATGCTGTTGTTGCTGATAGTGATGCTGCTGGTGCTGGTGCTGCTGCTGCTGTTGGTGATGATGATGATGATGATGGTGATGGTGATGATGGACAATCGACGGATTAATCTGGATGCGGTGAATCGCGCCCGGCACCCTCCAGCAGAGCACATATGGGATCACAAAGTCGGGTTTGACCTGCACCAGCGGCAGCAGGCGATACTCGATCTCACGCGGATTCAAGGATCGGCCACCTCCCGTACTCCCGCTCGTGGATCCACGCACCAAAAGACGACCCTCTCCACGGAGGACGTTGTAGTTGCGCCAGCCAAGGTCACGGGGTAACATGTCACGAGGACATCCCTGCCAACCAAGCTACTACCGGCTCCTCCTTATGGGTCTCGTCATAGTGTCAAGGATATCCCGCACTGTTCTTCGCACCGAGAGACTTGTGGACGTCAATCGAGAGGGTAGATTGTCGTCAATGGTTATGATGGGTTGTACCGTCAAAGGAACGAGGCAGGAACAAGATTTCTCTGGCGAGAACGCGGTTATTAACGATTCCCTCGCAGCCGTTTAAATACACTCGGCAATCGATAGTCTTTGTGCACTCGTTGCCATTGAGAGATACCTGACGGATACAGGAACATCCGTGATACGGTCCTCCTTCTCTCTCTCTCTCTTTCTTCGTCAAAGACAAAAACTTGGATTTATTATTGATATTATTTTTTAAATCGCGTATTCAATCCAACGTGTTCGCTCGCGAATAATGCCGGGCGTACCAGACTCGGGCGAGACCGGACGACTCGGGAGCGTCATCCTCGAGCAGCGGGAAGCGCGTGTGCCCGCGGAGGAAATTCGGGATCACTGGGAGGACCGGCGGAGGAGGGCGGCGAGACAGGCGCCCGAGACACTCCCTTCTCGCGCAAGCGACAGCACTCCGACCTTAGCATCGACTTCCACGACCGGAGCCGAACGGGCGGAGGGAGAGCGAACGAACCCAACGAACGAACGAACGAACGAACGAACGGACGTGGAACGAAAGGCGAGAGAGGAACGCAGCCCCCAAGGATCCTCCGTCGCTGCGCGCCACGAATTTCAAACCGGGCTGCGCGCGCAATTTACGTGCCTCAGGGCTGTCTCAAAGGAGAGGCCGCTGGTGAGGTGTCTCCGCCGGGGCTGCGAAAATGTCGGGAATCGAAATGCATGCCACCCGCGTGCGTCTTTGACACGGGTTACTCTTGGCACGCCGAATTTTTCGATCAATATTGAGAACATTAAAGCTACAAAAGCGAACAAGTTTGTACAGAGGGTATCTACTCATACCTTCTAAAAAAATTCCCCGATCTTTCCCGAGGTATTTTTGTTCAAAATTCCAGATAAAGAAAATATTTTTTATAGATTTTTTTTGGTGCAATTTTCTAAAATAAACTTTTTTATTGTACACGTTTTCTAATGCTTTTCATTCATACAAAGAAAAAATACAAAGCCATTTGAGTTTCAAGTGCTAGATTTACAAATGCAAAAAAATGTACCTGAATAAAAACTAAATACTGAAAAAAATCTGAATAGTTTTCGTTAAGATAAAAATTTTTAATTTGCGTAACATTTTCATTTTTTATCACTAAAAATTAAACTAAAGACATACACATAATTCACAAGTTGGCTTATTGGCGGATTGTCTACCACTTACAGTATAAGAGCAAAATTATTAAAGAGAGAATTTTTTGAAAAACTCCCCGAGTCCCAATAAAATTCCATGAGAATCCCAGGTTTTTCATGTTTTTCCAGAGAGTAGACATTCTGGTACATTTTCAGAAAAATGACAGATATATCGGTGACGTATTGTTATCTCTAAAGACACACTTCATTAATTATTACAAATAATAATAGCTAATATAATAAGTAACAATATGATATTTAAATTTAATTTTTTATTTTTTTGGTATATCAATTTCTTTTTATATAAAATGATAAATAACTATCAGATTTATTATAAAAAAGTAAATGTCAAAAATATTGATATCGTTTTATTTGTATATCGATATTGTTAGCTCCTCTATAAATTTCACAATTCCAGTAATTATTTTATGCTATTGGAGCAAATGGAAGTATCGGTGTGTTCCACAATGTCAAGTTCTAGATTATATTTACACAGCGCAAACAATAAGGTATCCATAGCGTTTATTATTTATTATTGCGATTATACGCAAACGAGCACTATTGTATAAATTCTACTCGCAATTTAGAGGGAAAATACAAATCGCGCCCGTTAGTGAACATTGGCAAAAGGTAGCTAATTTGCCATTCAAGGGATATATTTAGCTTGATCTTAGATAAAGCTTAAACGCTCTATCGTCTGAGCGACAGGATAATTAAATGACTGTCTATTTGAAAAGCCACCTTTCTCTCAAGAGACGATACGAACCGCGTACGGCTAGTAGTAGACGTCCACTTAGCGATGTCGAAATGTCAGTCACCAGAATTCAACGATATCTTTGACCGATAAAAGTTGCGTTGAAATTTCGTGAGAGCCATTCTAATGCGAGAGACTTTCAGCAAGATAGATAAAACGCGCACGCAAAAATAAGAGGCAGCAAACTTCTCTCTTCTATCTTTATCATTTTTTTATCTTTATCATTTTTTTTCCGGTTGCCATTTTTTCGATTTCACGCAAATGCAATTGGTTCAAGATAATAAAATAATGCAATCTTTTATTTAAAAAAAAAGAGATTAAAAAATCTCTATCCTTTTATCTCCAAAAATTCTCGATAAATCATAATTAAAAATAAACTATTTTTATCAAAAATTGTTTGCCGCCGTAAAATGTTTTATACGTGATATTCAAAGATTTTTCAAGAAATTTATTGTATAAAAAAAAGAAGTTACATAAAGATTAAAATAACGATATAAATTAACAATAAAAGTTGCATTGTATAAAATTTTAAGATTATATATATCAATGAACCTCGTGATTCAATTTTTGATCGGTCCAGTTTTTTAATCGGGACCGATAACACCGCTGAAGAGCATGAAATGCCTGCCACGAAATCTCGATTAATATCGGTTATGTGTGTCCGCGCGATGCCGTTAGCCTGATATCTTTCCGTCCGGAATGACACTGCACCTGCACCGGCGCCGCCGCGATCAAAACATTCGGAAATTCCGTGAGGAGGTGAGAGGCTAAATAGAATCGCGAAGGTCGTTTGCACCTGCTCGCTCGGCGTCAACCCTTGCATGCCACGCAACTCCGCAGGTGCATCGCGAATCCAGGTTGCCTCGGGTCTCAACAATTTATTTCTGCTCGTATTTTTTATAATATAATACAAGAAGCACGCAGAGTTTCTTATCCAAAATTGTAGAAATATATTTTTCGTATTATAAAGATAGTTTTTTTTTCTCTTTCAAAACTATTCAATTTAATTTTATTATTTTTATTTTATTATTTTATTTTATTATTTTATTATTCAATTTTCTTTTTTTTTCCGCACACAATCTCGTACAAAATATCTCATTTTCATGCATAAAGTTATAATCTCGGTCCAATTTACATTATGTAATAACGTTGATTGAACTCAAATGCGATTATCATGTTAGGTATCATAATATCGTGCCGTTAATCAGCCCCTGATAATATTAGAGGTACATCTGGTTTAATTAACCGCTTAATCGATTAATGTATTAATCAGGATAGAATTGCATCGTCCACATAACGCTGCGTTGTGATACTTGTCGGGTAATATTTATTTGTTTGTTTTCATCGGTTAATATCCATACCCAACTTAAATATTGATGAATGCAATAGTCATTCGCGTAATGCGAATAATAATCATATCATTGAGCCGTTACACAAGATCCCTGATGGAATTAAACGCGTCACGCTCGAATAAAGCAATGCATACGCAATTAATTAATTTTTCGACATAATATAAAAATTCCTTCGCGAGAAAAACACAGAGGCATTTATACCGAATCTTAAGGATACTTTTTTTAAAATTTTTTTTCTCGGCTAAAAAACGCAGATCGATCATCATAAATACACGGTTAAAATCAAGCTCGCCTGCAATTTTGTGGAGAATTGAAAATAATCACTTTCACGGCCGAGAATCACGATTATAAATATTTTCCCATCCGACGATAAATAAACTTAGCGCGACCTGGCTGGTGACCTGGAAAAGGACCGATCTGGCTTATTATTTTCCGTGAAAATGGATAACTATATAATCATTCTCGATTCGAAATGCGGTTGACATATCACGTCTGTTCGGCGAGAAAGAAATTCTCCCTCGTTCTAAATCGTCGAGAATATATCAAACGATGGTTAAAGATCCGCGTGCATTCTTCGGTCGCGTGGATATTAAATAAAAAAACAAGCGAGATCCTTCTTTCCAAGAAACACGTCAAACTGACCTTCCTCGTCGTTCGTAAATCAATCAATCTTATTATTATTGCGAGTCTACAAACATGATAGATGTTTATACCAGTGTGCCGTATGTCCAGAAAATATCACAGGATTAAATGCTTGTGAAACAATCAAATTATAAGATTATCATCCGCGCGTGTTTACTAATATTATTTTTAAATATGTATTTCTTTAAAAAATTTTCCCGATGCTAGAATATATTTAATATATAAAAGATGTGAAAAGCAATATTCCAATTGTTTTCAATCTTAAGGTAGAAAAATAATTTAAGTCTGTGCTTGATATTCCTTTTTCATTGTCGATAAATATTGAAAAATATGATTTTTCCCTTCTATGTACATGTAATACATAGAATATACATAATATATGTATATATATATTTTTTTGTAAATATAATTTTTAATATAATATATGCGTCGTCACGCAAGCCGTGATAATTATCAGAATTTATCTTGCTAAATAAATGCACGGACCATCGCGCATCGATAGTATTAATTGATCATTGACTTGGTTTAGATTGATTGGCCGACGGTAATTAATATTGGAATACGATGCGTGTAATGGAGAGGCCCAAAAACCCAGCTTAGGGATGCAATAATGCATTGTTGAATACGAAGCTGTCCCTCTCTTCTCTCTTTCTCTCTCTTCCTCTCTTTCATAATTCATCGTTGTCCGCGCAACATGCGGTCCGAGACGTGTTCGCATGTCCACGGGACGCGAAGAAATTCGATAAAAGTGTCATTTGGCTGGAGTCATCGTTGCAGCAATCTCGCCGGTTTCAAAGCCGCCGCCGTCGACAATAGCTTTTATCGAGTTTGGAAAAAGTAACGCAATATCTCGGCCTGCAAGCTATCTTAACGACCTTCGCGTGCAACATGGACTTTCTCTCTCTCACACACATGCACACACACACACAATATATATAAGATATATATATATATATATATATATTTAAATATAATTTTATATATATATAAAATTAATATTATAGATATATAAATAATATTAAAAATTTGCATTCCACTAGTGATTCCAAACAAAAAATCAATACTCGGGAGGGTACAAACAACACCGCGTTGACCTTCGTCGGTGATCGGTAAACCGATCGATCATTGCAAAGGATGGAGAGTATCTCCTTCGTCCGATCAGCATCCGATCTCGCATAATTGCCGGTTATGGCAAGGACTAATTTGTAAGGAGAAGATCGCGACGGCCGATAAGTGAGTGTCCGAATCGAGACGCACGCGAGTGCTCTTTTCGATACCGATTTTCAATATCATTGTCGCGGAAAATGTACGCAATAAAAAAATGTTCCGCGACGCAATCGCGGTCCGTTACCGATCAAGACAGCTCGTATAAATATATATTTATATATTCTCCACGCATACAAATAAATATCTACCGATAATGCGTTGTCGCGGCGGTCATGAAACGATATAATTATATCGATAAATAATTTATCGCGGATTAATTTTGATTAATTGCACGCACTTTTTCGAGAGTCGGATAATCGTGCGATGCACGCGCGATTCTTGCTCCTTGGCAGCATCAATCGACGTCTCGATATCGGAGCGAATCAATTTTTCAATGACCGTTCGCGTAGTGTAATA